GCTAGGCCAAGCAGCCAACATGATTGACCATTGGCCAATTGTTGACCTTTAGGATGCTTGTTCTTTTCTCGCGCATACTGGCTCACAAAAAAAAAAAAAAAAAATTAAAATAAAAAACAACTATATTTTTTAAATAATTCAAGTTAAAAGTACTTAAAATGGTGAATACGCTAACTTATTTTTAGTTATAACAAAAATAATATTATATTTGTATTATGAAAATAAAACTCAATTTTATAGAAGATAAAATTAAATAGAAAACTAATTATGGTGTACATATGAAAAAGAAAAAGATGCTTAAGTGAGGGCATATTTGAGAATAATTATTTCATGAGTATTTTTTTCTTTAAATATAAAAATAATTAAAAATAAATCAAATAAAAAACTAATTAAGGTGTGCACATGAGTTGTAGAAAAATGTTTGATTAAGAGTATTTTTGAGAAAATTATTTTAGTATAAAAACAAGAAAAAAATTGGTCAAATACAGAGGATTGTAATAATAGTATTTAAATAGGGATGTATTTGTGAAATGAATATTTAAATTGAGAAATTAGAAAAGAAAAAATAATTTAATGAAGTGGAGGAAACATCAATGAAGGTCAAAAATGTAAATAAAAATAATTAAGGAATAAAAAATAATTAAGGAATAAGAAATAAAAAAAATAAAAAAAAAGAAACAGGAAACGAAACGGCCACGAACGTGGTCGAAGGAGCGCTCCTTGCCCTTCTACACTAGATAATCAAAATTCATCGATAGCAAAAACATTAAATGTATTCAATAAATATGAGAGTTATAATTTATTTTGGTCTATGAAATTTACTTAATCAATAAATATGCAATCTTTTTTTTTTTTTTAAAAATCCATTTTTAATATCTTATTGAAAATCAGTCATTTAACCAAACTTTATCTTCTCTAACACTAACTCATTAAATACAAAAATTTGAATAAAGGAAAGTATTTATTTCTTTGTTTTTTTTTTTAAAAAAAACAAATTTGTATTTGACATTTTCCTGGAAATAGTGGTCATATGAATAGAGAATTCCAAGTACAAAGGTTAGATATTCATTCCAAAGCACCAGGCGCAACAAAACGAAAAGTAGATCAGCCAACAAACAAAACAGTTCCTCATACAGAGAAGACTATCAAGAGCTTGACATAGAGTAGAGAAAATAAAACCAACCCACTAATCCACTACTAGTACTAAGAGTGTAAGCATCATCATTTCCAATGTCTACTTCTATTCAAAAACATTGCCCTTTCCTTTTAAAACAAAAAAATCAACATTTCCAAAGTACAAGTCAAGAGTTAGTGGTGGAACTTCGGGCGGTAGACGTGCTCAAAATCTGAAAATTTTTAGGCTCAACGGACAGGCACCTGTTATCACCCGTCCACGTAAATTTTCCGGGCTCAGGCAGCTCGAGAAAAAAACATTCACCGTAGCCCGCTGCCGGTGGGGGTGGGTTGTGACCGCCGGCCGCTGTTTTTTTTGAAATTTTCCACCGTACCCGAATGCCAAACCCAAAGCCCGAATTTTGCCTGAATACCCAAAAACGGCTAGTTTTTTGAATTTTATGCCCAACCCGAACCCGATCCAAATATATTTTTGAACGTTAGCCCGATTTGCGCCCGAATTTTTGAATGTAACGGCTATTTCTGCCCGACCTGACCCGCCGCTCGTTTTGCCCGACTCCAACGGCTCTATATTTTACCGTTGCCTAAGAAACCTGAAGCCCGACCCGACCCGCCAAATTTAAGTTACTGTTGGAGCCGAATATTTGAGGGAAAATTTTTTTTTTTCAAGCTAAAAAATTCCCTATAAATACCCCCCCGCCCCCCAAACCATTTTTCTCACCAAAAAACTCTCATCCTCTCTTAATTTCTCTCAATCTCTCTCAAATCTCTTAATCTCTCTCAAATCTCTCTTAATCTCTCTCGATCTCTCTTAATCTCTCTCAAAGCGCTTTCAATCTCTCTTATTTTTCATAATGGATTCTTCCGGTTATGGTGGTGATATTCCCGTTGATGCCTAATTCAACATTGAAGAAGAGCAATTTCCTATTAATGTTTTTCAAACGCAGGAATCGCAAACACCAAAAAGAGATGCTGAGGAAACGGCAAATCAGAGTCGTGGTGGACGTACTAGAGGTCGTGGACCTCGTGGTCGTAATGGTGGTGTGCGTGGAGGAGAGACAAGCAGAAGTGTTAGTGCAAGTTGATTAATGCCCAAAAGTGATGTTCACAAGCAGTCAATTGTAGTACAGAAGGGCGGTCATATCCACAGAGAGATACCAAAATAACAAGAATGACTAACAGAATAAGAGCGTTAGAGAAAAGTGAATTAAAGAAAAAGAAGAGTTTTTGGGATTTTTGTTGCAAATAAAATAAAAAGGAAAAAATTTGTATGAAGAAAATTCAGTAGTAAAAATGGTAAGGTGTCGAGAATCCCTAATGTTTCGTTCACCAATTCAAGTTTTGATTCACAAAATAAAGGAATCGAATAAATTAAATCTCTATGTTGACTCCGAAATATTATTATTACAAGTTATCTAAAATCGACAATATATCAATTTGACAGTATTGCAGTAAAAGACAATTTACAAAATAATTTGAATAACAAAACAATGCACGACAGAATTACATAAGAAAGACGTGACTGAACTTATATAAAAATTGGCACACAATATTTTGAAAAGTAAAAGAAAGATAGATGAGATTTAATTCATTCAGATATTGAACTTTACAGCACAAGGAATCAAAACCCTGAATTGGGTCACTCCACAGAAGTTCATCTCTAACCACACCAAGAAAACTCTAGCCTAGCTTGCAAAACATTCTCACAAGTTCTAGAGAGAAAATATGAGACTGACAGCAAGACGACAGAAAATTGAATATTAAAAGCTTCCCAAAAACCTTAGGCCAACCCCTCTATTTATAGTGTTCAGAGGTTGGCTGTTAAATTAAAAAACAAACAATAAAAATAGAAAATTACAAAAGAAAAAGGAAACAAAATAAAATTACACATAAATTAGGAGAAATCATATAAATAATTTGAGGAACAAATATGGTATTTGCTCTGATTTTTGGAGAAGAAATTCAGATTCAGCACAAAAGGGACACGTGTCGAAGCTTGGTTGGAGGAAAGGAGTAGAGTCGCCACGTGTCGCGCTCAGAGTGGCTGGCCTGTGCTGGCAGAAGGTTGTCGCGGAGACAGCTGGCGCACGCGAAATGGATGGAGGGTTAGCGCTGAGCAGACGCGGGACCCACGCGAGACAAGGGAAAACGCGCTGTAGATGGCGCGTGCATGGGACGCGCTCCCTGGACATTCTGCGTGTAGGTGATGCGCGCGAAATGGAGTGGGGAAAGCATGGAAGAGCTGGGGCCCACGAGGACTGATGCGACTTGGCCGGCTCAGCTACTCGGCTCAATTGACTCGGCTCTCTCTTTGATGGCTTGTGCGGCTCAGCTGAGAGGCTTGGCTCTGGATGGTTGAAAATATGGCTTTCATGGCTTATTTTTGTGTAATTTTTTACACTGCTTTTTATCTGTAAATAATTAAGCAAAAACTAGACAAATTCCAAATATTATGAATAAAAATAATGGAATTGATTAATTAAAGCTTAAATATTTTAATATTATATAAATCAAAAGCAGTATTTAGGGTGCATTTTCATGCACTAATCACAACCCCCAACCAGCTTATTGCTAGTCTCTAGCAATCCAAGCGCAAGAGAAATCATGTCACAAAGAAAATCTGAGTCTCAACTAGCTTAGTCACCTGAGTATTTCAAACAAACTGTCAGTAAGAAGTCAAAAGATACTATCAAGATTATTTCACTCATAACTCCAGAGTCGTGTGTGTGTGCTCCAAACCGTAACCTTCTTACCACTGACCATAACACATACAGTTTTTGAAAAATTCACCAAGTAGAAGTCTTAACTCCATTGATCTCACGGGTGTTAAAAATATTTGAGTGTAAAGGTTTTCTCTCATGGAGTTGGAAGTGGAACAATCAACACTCAGTGTGAGGAAGGTCAAATTTAGGACAAACAATCAAACGAATATTGATCAAAAGATTGGTTAATCAACTACTAGAACATTCCACCATTCTTACCACAAACCAGCTTTTGGGATTTCATTCAAGTCAAATAGAAATTTACAGAAACAAACAAAGAGCCAAAAAAATGCATAAGAAAATAAATTACTCTTTTTTTTTATTTTATTTTTTATTTTTTGGCAAGAGACAACCTGCAATAATGAAGTGAATGTAGAAAGGTGTTCTTTTGACAAACTGTTATATAGCATCAAATGTGATTAACACCAAACTACAGGATCTATGAAATATTGCTCTTCCTCAGTTTTTTTTTTTTTTTTTTTTTGAAAAGTAAGAAATGAGGCTCTATTACATAAGATCATTCCTATCTAACTAAAAATCCATCTCTCAAGCATATGCACCAAGCATACCACTAACCATGTAATGTTGTTCTATCAGTGATTTTACCAGCTCAAAAGATCAATGAAAGTTCAAAAGTCGTTTTCTCAACTCTCTTAACTCACTAAAAATCAAGCACTTAAACTTGGACATTTTCTCAGCGGACATGCATTAACATCCATCTTACCACAAGGTTTAGCATGTGCAAAAAGAAACTCTGGAAGTCATTTCTTAGTAACCAAGACAGCGAAAATTGACTCAAACTAAACATTTTGAAATCATACTCAGATAACTTCGCAAAAATTTTAACCCAAACATCAACATGACAAAAATCACTCTTACGTATGAATATGCTCACCACCCCCAACCAAAATCAGACAGTGTCCTCAGTGTCAAAAATTATGAAAATATAGAGAAAGAAGACACATGGACGATGAGCATTCCACATATGAGCACAGCTTGAGCTTCCTGATATGATTCTCCAAAAACACACACATAAAAAAAATGTAAAAAGAAACGAAGAAAATAGAAAATGAAAATATGATATAGGAGATGTGAGCAAACTACTCAGGGTTGGTAAACGGGGTCGTCGAGAATGATCTCTTCAACCTGGTTCACCCGCTCTAAGTAATTTTTCAGACGCTGGCCATTTACTTTAAAGATTCTCCCATCAGTCGGGTCCTCAACCTCGACAGCACCATTGGGAAAAATGCGTTTTACTATGAACGTGCCAGTCCACCGCGACCTCAACTTACCGGGGTGGAGATGCAAACGGGAATCATAGAGATGAACCCGTTGATTCGGCTCAAAATTCTTCCTTAGGATCTGCTTATCATGAGCCGCTTTCATTTTTACCTTGATCCTAGAATTGTGCTCTTTTAGTATGTCGATCAATCGTTGTTCTTGCAATGGATCGAGTTTAGATGAGATGATGACTGGGAATGTGTCTTCATCTCCCAAGAATGCATCTTTTAAGCCCTCAGGTGGTTGGGCTAGCTTGACTTTTGGAGCCTCCTCGGTGGATGATTTCGGTTTTTCTCCTTCTATTAGGAGCTCCTGAAAACATGGTGGCCTAAACTTGGTTCCTCTATCTTGTGATTCTTTGAAAATGCCAGAAATGGTAGCCACCTCACTAGGATCGGAACTCTCAGATTCAGAATTTTGGAGGAGGTTTTCAAGATCTTCAGAGTTGCTTTATGACAGAACCTTTTCCTCGACAAGTGTGTCGATCATAAATGTTTGGTGACACTCGTCGTCATCACGTGGTTGCTTTTGAATATGAAAAATATTCACCTCAAGGGTCATATTCCTGAAAGATATCTTCATGAGACCATTCCTACAATTGATAAGTGTGTTTGCTGTGGTAAGGAAAGGTCTTCCTAGAATGATGGGAATGGATGACTCCATATTCACCACGGATTGTATATCCAAGACAAGAAAGTCCACGGGTAATAAAACCTGTCGATTTGTAACAAAATGTCTTCTACTATTCCCCGTGGTCTCTTAATGGATCTATCAGCCAGTTGTAGAACCACAGATGTGGGCTTAATCTCTCCAAGACCCAATTACGAGTTGACCAAATAAGGCATGAGGTTTACGCTCGATCCTAGGTCTAGTAACGCTTGGCCGAATTCATGTGTCCCGATCTGGCAAGAAATGGTAGGACAACCTGGATCCTTATACTTCGGCGGTGTCTTCTGCTCAATCACCGCGCTCACTTGTTCGGTTAAGAATGCAGTCTTCTTGACGTGGTGCTTTCTCTTTATAGTGCACAGATCCTTGATAACCTTGGCGTAGGCCGGCACTTGCTTGATCACGTGTAGTAAGGGAAGATTGATCTTCAATTGTGTCAAGTGCTCTAGGATCTCGCTTTGATTTTCCTGCACTTGCCCAGTAGATCGGAGAGCTTGGGGAAAAGGCACCTTTACCGGAATTTTAGTTGGCTCTTCTTTCTCCTGAGCCGATTCTTCATTACTCGAAGTGGTTGTACTTGTCGATGGCGTGTCTAAATTCTTAGCACTTCGAGTAGAGATGGCGTTAAATTCCTTGATATTTCGACCTTCAGAGTTGGAAGTTGGAGCCATGTGTTGTCCTCTCAAATTGGACTGGGCTTGTGATGGAAATCTACCGTGCTCCTGAACGGTTAAAGCTTCGGTCAGCTTTGTGATCTAACTTTTGATTTCCTTGTTCTCTTCCACCAGCTGCGTGAGCATCGAATCAACCCTTTGATTCATTTTATTTTGCGCGTCCATAAAAGCTTTTAGGGTATCCTCTAGAGAATTCTCTTTCGGTTGTATGTTATTCTGAGGTGCAAAATATGTCATTAGTGGTTGAGATTGTTGCTCTGATCTCCATTGCCCTCCAGATGATTGTGCATGTTGGTTCGAATCTCGCCAACTGAAGTTTGGGTGGTTTTTCCAACCAGGATTGTAAGTCTCCAAGAAAGGTCCGTAAGGCTTCTTGTATGTGTCCAATGCATTGTACTGCTCCTTATATACCCCTCTCATTTCACTTAAAGTGTGGCAATCCTGAGTTAGATGGCCCATTCTACCACAAACTAAACAAGGCTCATGTGCCTCTGTCCTTGCCACCATGTAGGGTCCTTTACTATCTTTACTTTTGAGGGCCTCAATTTGCTTCGTCAGAGCTTCAACTTGGGCCTTGAGGCTATCCTCTTCCCTTAATTGATAAACTCCAACTGGTCGGGACCTACTGGTGCTCTCAGTAGCACTCGGTCCAGTCCAAGTATGAGCTTTCTCAGCTAACTCATTCAGGTATTCGATAGCTTCGTTAGGATCCTTCTAGAGAAAATCTCCATTGCACATCATCTCGACAAATTGGTGCTCTTGGATTGTGAGTCCATCGTAGAGATAGCTTACGAGGCGCCAACTTTTATATCCATGGTGGGGGCACAGATTTAACAGATCCTTAAAACGCTCCCAAGCTTGATAGAGAGTTTCGTTTTCCTTCTGAGTGAAATTCGAGATCTGTCATTTCAAATTATTAGTCTTATGGTATGAGAAATACTTGTTGAAGAATGTCGTCGTCATTTCTTCCCACATACCAATAGACTTGGGCCTAAGAGAATACAGCCAGCTTTTGGCCTTGTCCTTAAGAGAGAAAGGGAAAAACTTTAATCTGACGGTATTTGTGTCCTCAGCACGGCTGTGAAAGGTGGCCACCACCTCTTCAAACTCCCGAATGTGTACATATGGGTTCTCGTTCTCTAACCCGTGAAAAGTTGGGAGAAGTGCAATTATGCCCGGCTTGAAATCCGTAGGCGGTGCATTTGGCGGGAACATGATGCACGATGGGGTGGCCGTGCGCGTTGGGTGCATATAATCTTGCAACGTCCTCTGCTGAACTTCCTCGTGTTGTGCCATTGCGAATAGATTTTTAAATGCGAATTCCAATGATGAGTGTGAAGACGGAGGCGTAGAAGATGAGTCGGATAGAATTTCACTAGGGGTTTCTAGGTCTGGACGTTGAGCGAATCTCCCTAGCTCGTCTCTATACCGATGCATTCACCCAAAGCGGTTTTTTTTAATTTTTAATTTTTAATTTTTTTAATTTTTTTTGTTTTTTTTTTGTTAATTTTTAATCAAAACAAAAGAAAATAATTATATATCAACGTAAATCATAACCACTGAGAGTGCTCCCAGGAAAAACTATAGCTCTTGGCTCAATGAATAGTCTCCTAGACAGAGCAACGTTCCCAGGAAAGATTGGTGGGGCGAGGCCCACTTAAGTACCAACTTTTCTAGATAGAACTCCCTCAGATTATACTTTCCACGTAACTACACAATTATTCTCAAAATTAATTATTAAATTTTATTAAGTAAATTATGAAATGTAATCTAATTAATGGAAACTATTCCTAAAGTCAAAAGCCTAAATCTACCAAATTATGAAATTCCTAGGTTAAGAATAATCAATTAATTACAATCTTAATTATAATCCTAAGAATTAATGAAAACTATAAAAGAAAAAATTAAATTAAGCAACAATTAAAATGTACAAATGGGAAAACAAAATAAAATCCTAATTTATCAAAAGTAAAAGATTACAAAATTAAATCACAATTAATTTTAAAACTAAAGAGGGAAATAAAATTAACACTAAAAGCAAATCTTAAATTATCTTCTAGCAATATAAAAAGGAAACAAAAACACAGAAACTGTAACCTATGACTGAACTGACTCTTTTTTTTTCAATAGGTAGGATATGGAAATTAATTAAAGGCAAAGGAACGGACACAAATGACTAAAAAGAAAAACCAAAACAAACAAAGAGAAAATAAATGCACGTACATATAAAAACCAATAAATGAAAGCAAAATATACAAACTGACAGAAAAGAAGCAACTACTATGACACGAGTTCCGCACCTAAAACAAACACCCAAAAAAAAGGTTTTTTTTTTTCTTTTTTGAAATAAGAAACGAGAAGATGAATATCAAGTCAAATCAGCAACACTTGCAGCAATATAAAATACTAAGGGACCGTTCAGTTCGCTGATTCGAGTTGAGATGTGATTTTATGTGAGAGTTTTTTACTGTAATAAAAAAGTTAGATGGAACTGTTTGTGATAGCTTTTTACTGTATCAAAACTTGAATCAACAAAATGAACAAGGCCTAAGTGAATACATACGGAAACTTGCAGCAACTTTTACTTTTATATATATATAGGCTAACAATCAAATCACAAAAACTAAAGGAAGTTTTCTTTTTTTTTTTGAAAATCAAATTTTTAATAAAGAGAAAACGCTAACAAACTAAAAGAATAAAATAAAAGACAGAGAAAAGAAAAAAAAACAGAAAGACAGATGCAGCAAATAAAGATTTTTTTTTGTGAGTTAAGAAACAGATCACGCAAACCAAAAAAAAATAAACAAAGTAAAATAAAAATACAGAGAATATGTACTTACCTCTTTGGTTTAAAATCTATTGATCACTCTTGTTAGTAGCACCTCCCCGGCAACGGCGCCAAAATTTAATTAACGCCCAAAAGTGATGTTCACAAGCGGTCAATTGTAGTACAGAAGGGCGGTCGTATCCACAGAGAGATAACAAAATAACAAGAATGACTAACAGAATAAGAGCGTTAGAGAAAAGTGAATTAAAGAAAAAGAAGAGTTTTTGAGATTTTTGTTGCAAATAAAATAAAAAGGAGAAAATTTGTATGAAGAAAATTCGTAGTAAAAACGGTAAGGTGTAGAGAATCCCTAATGTTTCGTTCACCAATTCAAGTTTTGATTCACAAAATAAAGGAATCGAATAAATTAAATCTCTATGTTGACTCCGAAATATTATTATTACAAGTTATCCAAAATCGACAATATATCAATTTGACAATATTGCAGTAAAAGACAATTTGCAAAATAATTTGAATAACAAAACAATGCATGATAGAATTACATAAGAAAAGCGTGACTGAACTTATATAAAAATTGGCACACAATATTTTAAAAAGTAAAAGAAAGATAGATGAGATTTAATTCATTCAGATATTGAACTTTACAGCACAAGGAATCAAAACCCTGAATTGGGTCACTCAACAGAAGTTCATCTCTAACCTCACTAAGAAAACTCTAGCCTAGCTTGCAAAACATTCTCATAAGTTCTAAAGAGAAAATATGAGACTGACAGCAAGACGACAGAAAACTGAATATTAAAAGCTTCCTAAAAACCTTAGGCCAACCCCTCTATTTATAGTGTTCAGAGGTTGGCTGTCAAATAAAGAAACAAACAATAAAAATAAAAAATTACAAAAGAAAAAGGAAACAAAATAAAATTACACATAAATTAGGAGAAATCATATAAATAATTTAAGGAACAAATCTGGTATTTGCTCTGATTTTTGGAGAAGAAATTCAGATTCAGCATAAAAGGGACACGTGTCGAAGCTTGGTTGGAGGAAAGGAATAGAGTCGCCACGTGTCATGCTCAGAGTGGCTGGCCTGTGCTGGCAAAAGGTTGTCGCGGAGATAGCTGGCGCACACGAAATGGATGGAGGGCTGGCGCTGAGCAGACGCAGGACCCATGCGAGACAAGGGAGAACGCGCTGTAGATGGCGCGTGCATGGGACGCGCTCCCTGGACGTTCTGCGTGTAGGTGACGCGCGCGAGATGGAGTGGGGAAAGTGTGGAAGAGCTGGGGCCCATGCAGACTGATGCAACTTGGCCGGCTCAGTTACTCGGCTCTCTCTCTGATGGCTTGTATGGCTCGGCTGAGAGGCTTGGCTCCGGATGGTTGAAAATATGGCTTTCATGGCTTATTTTTGTGTAGTTTTTTACACTGCTTTTTATCAGTAAATAATTAAGTAAAAATTAGACAAATTCCAATCAGAAATATTATGAATAAAAATAATAGAATTGATTAATTAAAGCTTAAATATTTTAATATTATATAAATCAAAAGCAGTATTTAGGGTGCATTTTCATGCACTAATCACAAATGTTACAAGTTCCAAGAAGAAGAAGCGCACCTCAACAGTTTGGAAGCACTTCAACGCATTCGAGGAGGTTGACAATGACGGTAACATTAAATACATAGCTAAATGCAAATATTGTGGTGATAAATTACAAGTTAACACTATTCACGGCACAACACACTTGAGAAGACACTCTGAAAAGTGTCTTCAAAAGCAAGGAGGTGAACCCGATCTCCGCCAAACACAATTATCATTTGACTGCCAAACCGGCGGTCTAAGCACTTGGAAATATGATCTGCAAGTCGATCGTATACAAATGGCACGATTAGTGGCCACATTAGATCAGCAACTTAGTTTTACCGAACAAAGGAATTGGCAGCGTTATATTAAAATTGTATATAATCCTAATGCACAAATATTTTTCAAGAACTACTCTTAGGAAAGATGCATTAAAACTATATAAACAAGAAAGGGAAGCATTAATCAACCTTTTGCACTCTATTAGTGGTTGCATTGCGTTAACGTCAGATATTTGGTCCGCCGTTATCAACAAAGATTATTTAGCTGTAACCGGACATTATTTTAAAGGTTTTGATTTAGATAAGAGAATATTAGGTTTTAAATGTGTTCTATGATCACATATCGCCGATTT